AAATAGACTCACGTGAATTGATCTTAATAGAGGACCCATGCACAAGATGAGGTTCAGAATCAGAGCTCTTAGAACCAGACAGGGCACAGCTCTTTAAAGACCAGGATGCAGAGGTAGAGAGATGGCTCAGAGGTTAAGAGCACTGGCTGCTCTTCCAGAGGACCCGGGTTCAATTCCCAGCACTCACATGGAACTAACAACCAGTTCTGGGGATTCCATGTCCTCTCTTCTGGTCTCCATGGACACTGCATGCATGGGTATACAGACACACTCAGGCAAAACACCTATCAACGTAAGGCTACAAGGTCAGGTAGCCAGGTGGTACATTGCACACCTTTAATCCCAGCACTTGGAAGGCAGAGACAGGCAGCTCTCTGGGTTTGAGGTCAGCCTGGTCTACAGAGTGAGTTTCAGGAGAGCCAGGACTACACAAAGAAACCCTGTCTGGAAAGACAAAACAAAACAAAACAAAAACCCTCAGGAAATAAAGAGCTCACAATTTTCAGAAAGTCCCTGAAATTTATCAGGTTCCCAAGACCTTCTCCCTTCAAGGTAGAGTCTGCCTCTGCCTCCTGAGTACTGGGAGTAAAGGCGTGAGTCACCACCACCCGGCTGAGAAACCCTATCTTGAAAAACTCAAAAAAAAAAAAAAAAAAAAAAAAAAAAGACCATGTCACATACACCTGAGCACCTTCAGTACTCTTAGGCTGCCTTTCTCCAAGAGTTCTGTTCAAAGAACAAAACTAGCAACTTGAATAGAACACTGGAAGATAACCAGCTGGGGGGCTGGCATTCCAGTGGACTGTCACTCCACACTTCAGAAGCTGCGTGGGTCACACAAGTCAAGTCCTCTGCTGCCTGCTCCTTTCACCACCTTAACTGGAAGAGCCTACAGCGTCCACCACAAATCTTTTTCTCTTTTGGGGTATCTGAGGCAGGATCTTGCTGTGTAGCCCTGTTGGCTATGTAGATAAGGGATCTGAAACTCGGCATTGCCTGTGCCTCCGCCTCTCGAGTGCAGGGATTACAGGTGTTCCACCAAGTTGTTCTAATGCTACGTTCATGAAGAAACGAGCTGTCACTGTGGAGAGAAACACACTGGCTTAGGTGACACCATCCTCATGCCTTCCCCAAATACAACAATTAAGCTGAGGTAAAGTTGAGGGCGGGGGAGCAGCAGCCAGAACATGTTTCTGTTCCATTCACGGACGGACCTTTCTTAACCCCATTTCAATCAAGACCAAGGTTAGTTTCAATGGCAAAACAGAAAGCTTTTGTAAACTCTTAGACCAAGAAATGACAAACTCAGATGAGAATAAAAGGAAAAGTGATCTGAAAGAAAGTTTTGAAGGAGATGAGAGATTCCAGAATAGCCTTCCAGAAAGAACTCATGTGAATTCCTTCATTCAGAGAATAAACTTAGAGTGCTCCCCTCACCAAGGAAATTTCTCTTTACAACAGATGGAGACAACTACAGAAAACCACACCAACCAATCCAAATGCAGAGTTGTGAAACTCATTCCCAACAGCTACATCTACAAAACAGCTCCTACATCTAAGGCTCAGAGAACACGGCAGAAGACCGGCAGCTGTGAGACTGGGTGTGTCTCCTAGTAACATCAGAACCTACACCCATCAAGTCTTACCATCATGACTACTGCCTAACTAGGAGCTGAACAAAGACAACAGCAGCAACCCAGGAGGCCTCCACCCTACACAAAGAACTACAGGCAACCAAGGAATGCTGAGAGAGAGAGAAATAGTCTCCCCAAGGAAGAACATACCAATCAATCCGTTGTCCAATACCAAATGGTCAACCCTAAAAACATATATACAGAATACCATACAGTCTGAGCAGATCATATTTAGAAATATGTATGTATATGCATAAACATATATGTATGTAACAACAATTAATGAAAAAAGAGGCCATGAATTTGAAAGACAGCAAAGAGGTATACAAGGAAGAATTTGGAGGGAGAAGGGAAGGGAAAAAAATATAATTATAACTTCCAAAAGAAGAGAAGTAAGCTGGGCAGTGGTGACACACTCCTTTAATCCCAGCACTTAGGAGGCAGAGGCAGGCAGATCTCTGTGAGTTCCAGGCCAGCCTGGTCTACAGAGCGAGTTCTAGGGACATAATGGGATTAAAAGAAGTAACCTCTGCTCTGTCTTCATGGAGTCTGTACACTAGGGGAGGGAGAAAAGCTAAGTATACAGTATGCAATATGGTGGTTAAGCTACAGAGAAAAACAAAGCAGGGCCAGGAAATGGCAATGCACACCTTTGACTCCAGCACCAAACTACATCTGTAGTTCATGAATGAATCTGTGTGAATTTCAGTTTCACCGTCTGGGTTTTGTCAAGGTTAGATGAGTTTGGACATGACGGTACAGTTTCTAGAAGAGGCAGTCAGAGGACAGAGAGGCAGACGGATCTCTGAGTTTGAGGCCAAGCCTGGTCTATGTAGCAAGTTCCATACAGGCCGTCTAGGGCTACATAGTAGGACCATGCATCAAAAACACCCAGGGAGAAGCATGTGAGAGGCAACCGCACGTAAGCAGGTAGGCAATGCTCCTGAGAACACTGGGATGCCTGCTGGGGGAAACAAAAACAGAGACAGCCCATGCAGGAAAGAACGCTAAAGAAAAGTAGAGGTAGCAAAGGGAGCCCAGGATGGAGCAATTCGTGTACCCAAAGGTAGAAAGCAAAGAGCTCTCACACACTTTCTTCCCAAGGGTTACTGTCTCCCTTATCAAAGGAAGCCTTCATTCCAAGAGGCCTTGTCTTTTTCTGCTCAAACATCTGAAAACAACAAAGTCAGGCATGGCTGCACATGTCTTTAATCCCAGCACTTGAGAGGCAGAGGCAGAAGGATCTCTGTGAGTTCAAGGCCACCCTGGTCTACAGAGTGAATTCCAAGGCAGCCAGGACTACATAGAGACCCTGTCTAAATAAATAGACAAACACAAAAAACAACATAAGCCTGTGGTGATATTGTGTTCCCCAAAATACTGTGCACCCTAATAAACTTATCTGGAATCAGAGAACAGAACAGCCACTAGATATAAAGGCCAGAAAATGGTGGCACTCATGCCTTTAATCCTAGCGTTCCAGAGGCAGAAATTCATCTGGATCTCTGTGAGTTCAAGGCCACACTGGAAACAGCCAGGTGTGGTAACAAGAGCCTTTAATCCCAGGAAGTGATGGCAGGAAGCAGAAAGGTATTTAAGGCATGAGGACCAGGAATTAGACATGGTTAAGGCTTTAGGCTTTTAGCAGCAGTTCAGCAGAGATCCATTTGGATGAGGACTCAGAAGCTTCCAGTCTGAGGAAACAGGATCAGCTGAGGAATTGGCAAGGTGAGGTGGCTATGGCTTGTTCTGCTTCTCTGATCATTCAGCCTTCACTCCAATACCTGACTCCAGGTTTGTTTTTATTAATAAGACCTGTTAAGATACTTGCTACAAGCCGGGCGGTGGTGGCGCACGCCTTTAATCCCAGCACTCGGGAGGCAGAGCCAGGCGGATCTCTGTGAGTTCGAGGCCAGCCTGTGCTACCAAGTGAGTCCCAGGAAAGGCGCAAAGCTACACAGAGAAACCCTGTCTCAAAAAACCAAAAAAAAAAAAAAAAGATACTCGCTACATAAGCTTGCCTGCCTCTTCTAGAAACTGTACCCTCATGTCCAAACTCATCTAACCTTGACAAAATCTAGACGGTGAAACTGAAATTCACACAGATTCATTCATGAACTACAGATGTAGTTCGGTTGATAAGAGTGCTTGCCTGGCCGGCCAGTGGTAACACACACCTTTAATCCCAATTTGGAAGGCAGGGCCAGGCGGGTCTCTGTGAGTTCGAGGCCAGCCTGGTCTACAGAGGAAGATCCAGGGCAGGCTCCACAGCTATACAGAGAAACCATATCTGGAAAAACCAAAATTTAAAAAAAAGAGTTTTACGCTACCCTTTGCTATATAGTAAATCTGAAGCCAGCCTGGGCTACCCAGCCCTGGTTGTGTAGGCTGTAATCCCACCTGCAGGAGAGACTGAAGCAGAATAATCTAAAATGCAAGGTCATTATAGACAATCAAGAAAGACCATTTCTCAAAATAAAAATTGGAAATAGGGCTGGGGCTGTAGCTCAGTGTAAGAGTGTTTACCTAGCATGTGTGAGGCCACAGGTTCAACTCCCAGATTGGGGGGGGGGGGGGTCATTCTCAATTTCTTAAGCCAGGGACAGTGTAGTTACTTCTTTTTTTTTTTTTTTTTGGTTTTTCGAGACAGGGTTTCTCTGTGTAGCTTTGCGCCTTTCCTGGAACTCACTTGGTAGTCCAGGCTGGCCTCGAACTCACAGAGATCCGCCTGGCTCTGCCTCTGTAGTTACTTCTTAATCCAACACGAGGAGGCTGAAGCAAGATCATAAGTTGGGGCCCCGCCTGTGCTACATAGTGATCCAAGGAGAGCCTGGGCTACACAGTGAAACTGTCTCAAAATAAATATTCCATTTCTTCTCTAACGCCCCTCAAAAACAAGTCCAAGAGTCATGTCCTTTACCACCTTTATCAAGCCTTATTATTTTAGGGATGGGGCCAAGGATAAGACCGGTCCTGGATGTTCAACATGAGCACTAAAGTCCTATCAGCTGTCACTTCAGATGCCCACGTTGTACCTGACCTCAATGTGGCAAGAGGAGAGGCCAACCTGAGATGAAGACGCTAAAAGGGAAGGAAGTGTCCCTATGCATGTACCTTGGCCTGTCAGTACCAAGGATGCCATTTAACCCCTTCTGCAAGCCAGCCCCGGGTTCCAAAATGCCCCGTGGCCAATACCCTAACTCCCCAAAGTTGACAAGTAAGTTCATCTGAATTAACCGCCTTCCAAGAGGATTCTAGCGGCCTTGAGTCAACGGATGAGTCGCTAGGGCTCCATTATGGCCACAAGTCCCTCCTACCCCCAAACTTAAACCCAATGGGGCTTGCGGTGGCCCCCTAGATACTCACATCGCCCTTATGCAGCTCCGGCGCCGCGATCCTCACCGGCTCGGTTCTCTTCTTTGGCTTGGGAAGCCCCAAGGGGGGTCCGACGCTGCCCACAGCCGGGGGCAGACTGAGACCAGGGCCTTGGGGCGACGGCAGCCCCAGCCCCTCCCCGACTCCCGCAGCTTCAGCTGGGCTCACTCCTGCAGGTGGCGGGAAGCCGCCCAAGCCGAAGGGCAAAGGTGGAGGAGGCTGCAGCCTGGGGTCTCCGGTGGGCGGGGGCAGCAACAGAGGCGGGGGAAAGGCCGGAGCCAGCATCTGAGGGGGCGGGGGCAGCAAGGCCGGACCCTTGGGTGCGGGCAGGGACGCGAACAGGCCTCCTAAAGTGGGCCCGGGCATAGGAGCCGCCACATCCTCTTCCTCCGGCTCCGGCTCCGGCTCATCCGGCTCACTCTCATCGCTGCTGGCATAAGCAACCAGAGACATGGCGCCTCCCGCCTTTGGGACGCCCTTGCCCGCAGACTAGGCCTACTTGAGACCCGGGATGTCCCGGCGGCCTAGTAGGCCCCACCACTGGGCAAGGCGGGGAACTGGAAAGCGCCCCCTGCTCCGTGTTCTAGGGCTATCCTCGGCAGGAACCCATGGCCGGGGTTGATTTACACCGAGTAAGAATTCCCGCTTCACTTAAGCTCCTAGCGCCAGGCAACTACACACAGCTAATGGCCGCCGAGTCACTCCGCCTACTACTCGCCTCACAAACATAAGAACTATAATTCCCAGAGAACTCTTTTGAAACAGCCCATTCTCTACCTCAGGGAACTCAGTGCAAAGCATGGCGGGAGTTGGAGTCCGAAGGTGGAGTAAATGGTGCGCTGAAAGACGGAGAGGAAACCCTCCTCTGACGCAGGGGTTCCTGGGATTCGTAGTTTGTTTATTTGTTTGTTGTTGCCTTGAAAGTCCTAGGTTACTACAAGCCCCATAGATCAACGCGGTAGTCACGGAAACACTTAGAGCATTTCGGTACTTGAAGTTAGTTCCTTAGCGCACTTAAGGTTTATGGGAGCTGTGGTACGCTTAGAAACCGCTAGTGTTGTCGGGAAAGTGATGGCGTCTGGGAAAGTGGACGAGCAACTAGCTTAAAGGGAAAGTTACCTGTAAATAAATGGCGATGCTTCCAAGTCTACCTGGGAGTTAGAACAAAGCACTCCAAGAAAAGCCAAAGCCCAAGGGACGTGTATGAAATTAAGCTGCAAAACTAGAAAGAAAATGAGGCCGCAGGCATCTGAGAGCTGAAGTAAATGTGCCATGAAAAAGGAAGGAGGTGATCTCCTTTGCTATGGCTGGTACACATCCAGGAACACATCTCCCGTGAAGCCTGCCTACCAAGAAGTCTGGGGCTTGGGCTCCTTCCGCAGCAACCAGTGAGACAGAGAGGTGGCCAAGGCGCGGGAAACTAGGGTGAGGTACCCAGGATTCATCATTTCACAGTAAAGGGACACACAACGGCCTGGTACACTTCACAGTTCTGAGGAATCGCCTATGCCACCCCCCAAACATAACCAGTCCGCACGTGTGGTTGGCATTCCTTTAAAGGCTGGGCATGCTGTCTGTTCTGTCTGTGTGTCCACCCACGTTTATGATAGGCTTCTTCACGTGCTGCCGGCCTGTGAGGATGTGTTTTGCACCTGTTCTAACCTGTCTACCGGTGATTCTGGATCACATTGTTACCCTGTAACGGAGTGCCCACTACTTGTCAGCCTGTCTGTGCATATCCTCTACATCCATCTCTCTGGGTACTCCCTCCCTGCTCCTAACAGCAGAAAACTATTGAGATCAGCCAACGAAAGAGCTGTTGAGGTGTGGCAAGGAGGCTAAAAAATATATAGAAAGTGTGCTTTGAGAGAGGGATGGTGATAGTAAAGACAGCTAAAGGACAAGCCCGATGTGACTCTTCCTCATCATCATCCTCACCCTACATCCGAACATCTGGCTTCACAGACAAATTTATAATACCACCTTCTCTAGACATCTGCTTAGATCTGCCCAGAGTAACTTATGCGCACCTGTGTTTTAACCAGACTATGGGTCTAGGCAGCTCAATAGCAAATTGCTTATCTAACATGTGCAAGATCCAGGATTTGATACCCCACTGCTGCCTGCCCCAAAACAAATTTTAATGTGTATAAGAAAAAAAGTTAATGTGCCCTAGGAAAAAATTTTGAAAACTACAAATTCTTGCTGGACATAGTGGCCCATGCCTGTGCCCAGCCTTTGGGAGGTTGGGACAGGATCAGGACTGTCTACATAGCAAATTCAAGGCCATCCTGAGAACCGCCTCATAAACAAACAGGAGCTAGAGAGAGAACTCTGTTGGTAACGTGCTTGCTCATCGAGCATAGGAATCTGTCCATCACCAGCACCTATGTAAACATGCCAAGCACAGTACATGGAATCCCAGCACCAGGGAGTGGAGACAAGAGGACCCCAGGAGCTTCCTGACTAAACAGCCCAGGCTTGGTGAGGCCCAGGTCCCAGGGAGAGACTCTGTCTGGAAAGGCAAGGTTGAGGGCTGGAGAGATGGCTCAGTTAGTTGTTAAGAGCACTTGCTACTCTTGCAGAGGACCTGGGTTCTGTCCCCAACTCACAACCATCTGTACCTTAACTTGCAGAGAATCCAAAGCCCTCCTAACCTTTCAGGCACCAGGCATACATATGGTACACATACACATATGTTGGCAAAGACTCATAAAGATGAAACAAAAAAAAAGCGGGCGGTGGTGGCTCACGCCTTTAATCCCAGCACTTGGGAGGCAGAGGCAGGCGGATCTCTGTGAGTTCGAGGCCAGCCTGGGCTACCAAGTGAGTTCCAGGAAAGGCACAAAGCTACACAGAGAAACCCTGTCTCGGAAAAACCAAAAAAAAAAAAAAAAAAAGATGAAACAAAAATAAGTTGGTTTTGTTTTTGTTTTTGTTTTTTCCCCAAGACAGTTTTGCTGTGTAGTTTGGAGCCCATCCTGGAACTCACTTTGTAGACCAGGCTGGCCTCGAACTCACAGAGATTCACCTGCCTCTGCCAACCGAGTGCTGGGATTAAAGGTGTGCACCCTCACTCCCTGGCTAGGGAAATATTTATTTATTTATTTATTTATTTATTTATTTATTTATTTATTTTTACTTATTTTGGTTTTTCGAGACAGGGTTTCTCTGTGTAGCTTTGCGCCTTTCCTGGATCTCGCTCTCTAGACCAGGCTGGCCTCGAACTCACAAAGATCCGCCTGCCTCTGTCTCCCGAGTGCTGGGATTAAAGGCGTGCGCCACCACCGCCCGGCAGCAAAATCATTTTTTAAAAGGTGGGATAGTAGCTGGATGGTGGTGGCACACACCTATAATCCCAGCACTGGAGAGGCAGAGGCAGGCAGATTTCTGTGAATTCAAGGCCAGCATGGTCTACAAAGCAAATTCCAGAACAGCCAGAGCTGTTATACAGAGAAACCCTGGAAACCCTGTCTCCGTGGGAAAGGGGGGTTGCTGAGGGCCGCAGGAATATATCATAAGAACTCAGCTGGTTATGGCAAAGTCACTGCCTGAATGGATCATGGAATTCCTTCAGAGGAGCCAAATTCCAAGGAGCTTTTGGTGTTACTTGGCTTGTTATATATCAGTTGTATTCTGTTATGAAAATCATGTGTGTCTTCATAGTTTTCCCAATTGATTTTTCCCCAAGAAGGGCTAACAGTGTGGACTGATCACTCTCTGGACATACACATTCCAGGTATTTGGAGAACAGCCTCAGGAAAGGTTTTTTCTGGAATCAGATATCTCCCTTGGCCACTTTCAAGGACTAACAGTAATAAAAGTCCACATGCTAGTCTCCTGATTTAAGGTAAATTCCACAAGGAGACACTGCCTAGGTCAGGTGGATGTTAAGTAATAGCTTTACACTATTTAGCTTGGACCCTCCTTTCTTACAGCCTTACTAACTTTATAGACCTCTAACTCCTTACTTAACCACTTTTAGGAATATTTAGATAACCTTCGGTGCTGACAGCTATGCTCAGCCAGAACCCCAGTTCAAGCCTCCCTGTAATTATCATCATTGGCAGCATCCGGCCAGGTCCATCCCCAGATGGAGGAAAGTACCTTATCAGAGATACCTCTGTACTCTCTAAGAACAGACTTAAGCATCCAGGCTACCTGTTTGAGAAGGCCTGGAGGATGTGCCAATTAAGCTTAACTTCCTCCTTTCCCAAATCTTACCTCTAGTTCCAGATCTCCCTTTAACTATCACCAGAGGCATCTAGCTGTACACAGGTTGCCTAGCGACCGAGCACACTTTCCCCCACCCTGCAGAAAAACAGCAGATAGCTTGGACAGATAGGAGCCACGGAAAAAAAAGAAGACAGTTTTATTTTCTCCCATTGACCTACCAACTTATAGATTCTTAACATTTTCTACCAATCACGTTTAAGTTTATAGTTGAGCACGTAAGATCCCTCTTCTTAGATATTACCCAAATTTAGCCCTTAGTTAATTCATTTCCCCATTAGTCACTTCCCTTTTGGGTTGCAAATGATAATTAACAGTTACTGCCCCTCTTTGTGATTCTTATCACCCCTCCGTTTGACCCTGGAAGCCTGGCTTTGCACTGCCAAGGGATTACTGCTTGTAAGTGTATATTTACCGGGACTTCCAGGGCACGGGAGGGAAAGGAAGATTTAGAAGAATAAATGACTGAACTAAGAGCTCAGTGTGTTGAGATTCTATTTCCCAAAAATAGTCCTCGCCGTTTGTGGTTCTCTCTCCTGAGCCCCTGGGATGTATAATATTAAGGCTGGTCCCTCTAATATTATACAAGAGGGGAGAAATTAAAAGATATGATAGCTGTTACAGAATAATACCCAATATTGAGTTCTGTCCTCTACATGTTATTACTCTCTCTCTCTCTCTCTCTCTCTCTCACACACACACACACACACACACACACACACACTCTACATGTTATCAATCTCTCTCTCTCTCTGTCTCTCTGTCTCTCTCTCTCTCTCTCTCTCTCACACACACACACACACACACACACACACACAAATACAGAGCAGATTATATTAGGATCCTGCCCTCACTCCTGCACATGCACAGCTCGGGGTCTTGCGTCTTAAGTCATCAGGGGGTGCTGGCAACTGCTTACATCCGGCGTGGTCCCGCAATCTGGGCCTTAAAAGCTGGATGCAGATCCCACACTCTCTCTGCTCTCTTCTCTGCTCCCCTCTTCCCCCACCCTACCATCTTTCTCTCTCACCAGGCCTGGTCCCCTCTCCACCCCCTCCTTTTCCTCCTAATAAAGTTCTGAATACTGATACTGAGTTCTGTCGTGACCGTGACCTTTCCACGAGGTAACCTGCGCTGCCACCAGCGCCAATTATCATCCTTTCCGATTATAGTGGCTCATGCTTGTAATCCCAGCACTGGGGAGGCTGAGCAGGAGGATCATTCATGATTTAGAGACCTGCCTGGGCTACACACTAGGTTCCAGGAGTATAGAGTGATTGACACATAGCCTGGCAAGGTGTCGCCACAGGGAAAGGCACGTGCTGATGAGCCTTAGGACTTGAGTTCCGTCGTCATCGGACCCCCCATAGCGAAAGGGAAGACTGACTCCTACAAGTCTACGTGTTGTCTTCTGTTTCTCACACGTGTGCCGTGGCACACACATATGCAGAGAAAATAAGTAAATATTGTACTCT